CCGCTTCCACTCCTGCCGGTCATGAGTATGTGGGGTAAAGCAGCGCTGTTTTATCATTCTAGATACATTTGAAAGTTCTGTTATAATGCTACTCTGTGCGGTCATCACCTGTCTAATAAAACGCATTACATATTAAAGCGTCTTTGGTGTTTCCTTGAAGACAGAGAAAGCAATGAAACAACTTAATTTCATTTAATGTACATTCGAATTACATATATATGTCACAGTTATACTACATTAACATTCGAATTGTAAACCGAAAAACTCAACCAAATCAACAAGTGAGACAAGTGTGAGCTTTCACAATTTCTTAGCTTATTTCTCTGGATTTAAACATTATTCGAAACATTTGGGATAATGTAAGTACACAAGTCAGCAAAATATATAACACTAGTGGTTTTTGGATATTTTAATAAAAAAATCTTACATATTGTGCCTTTAACTATGTCCACGCTTCGCGTTTTTAAAAGCAAAATTGCGTTCTGTGTGAATGGCCCTTGAGTCAGTAAACATAGCTACATAACGCAGATCAACTTCAGATCACTAAGCAGGAATACACGCAATTTGAAAACACGAAAAATCATATACTTGCCGACTTTGTACATGGTTACAGGGAGAAACTGGAAATCAACTGAACGCAACAACAAGCCTTTTAAAATCGTTTTGATATTGTTTTAAATTGTTGTTCATAAGAAAGAAACATTTTTATGATTTGTACATCATCTGAATGGATGGAATCATAGTCTGAAGCTAAAAACGGAGTTTGTGTACAAACAAAATCTTGGCAAAATTTGTGCAGTGTGTTCCAGCCTTTAGGTAGACTAGATGACATCTAGTCTACCTAAATATGACAAAACGACTTATTTACTTAATTTAAATTATATTTAAGTCAAAAACTATAACTGAAACAACAACCAAAATTAACACTGCCCCGTCACACAACACAGGGTGACTCTGGTGGCCCCCTGAACTGTGCTGGTAGCGACGGCGCTTGGGAGGTCCACGGTATTGTGAGCTTTGGTTCAGGACTGAGCTGCAATTATAACAAGAAGCCCACCGTTTTTACTCGTGTGAGCGCCTACGTTGACTGGATCAGCAAGGTAAGTGTTTTATATTAGCAAACATGTTGTAATAGCATGCAAATTAAACTTCATGACAGTGTTTGTTATGGAAACTTCTTTAATACTACTGATTTCCCCCTTAATCTCTTAAAGAACATGGCCAGCTACTAAAGAGCAAACAGAAAATGGGTTTTGTATCATGGATGCCTTGAACAATAAAAATATTTAACGGAACATAAAGTAGTATATGTATTTGTTGTATACATTACTATAATTAATTTATATTATAAACACATGGTTTAAATGCACTTATGACCTATATGATTTAGTAACTTTAGTACAAAGTTGTTGTTAGTGGTATTCAAAATGATAAGATCTCATAGCTCAGTAAGTGACACTTCCATTAGAGTCCGGCAGGTGGCATTGTGGTGTTATACTTGAAAGTGACCCGTCCAAGACGATTTTATGTGCAAAGACACATTTGACTATAGTTCTGTTGGTGTTTTGCATTACAATTTCCCCCTAAATTAAAATATATCAGATTCAGAGTACAAATTATACCTCTGCTTTTGTTGGTATTTGTAACCAAGTGGTTATAATGAGTCATCAGAGGCATTTTGTTGTAACTGACAATATTTATTGCATTTTTACATTCATCAATTTGAGTGCAAATGGTCCAAAACAGGAAGACAGCATGTGGCATAGTTTTAGTGTAAGCTGTTATTAAATATACTCTTGCATGCATACATATACATACAATAATACCAATAACAGAAAACTACCAAAAAGTGCCCATGTGCTGGTTTGTCATCATGCAGAGGGGACACACAATTAATGTATAATTTAGCCAAAGTCTCAATAACTAAATTTAGTGGTACATTTATACGAATATGTGAAAACAAATTCTCTTTTTTATCATTAACAGTCACAGCAAACAATACAGAAATACTATTGTATCACATATTGCCACAAACAGTGCTTTAAATATTCAGTGCTGATAAAACAGATCTTCATCTTGGTCTGCTGATACTGACTCACTGTGCAGCCACAGTGATGTATCTCGGCTCCATGTTCCCAAAGTAGGACTTCTCCCACTCGCTCATGAGGTCAAAATAAAGAGGCCGATCACAGAAGGTGCAGGAGACCATAGCTGGTCCATTTAGCGGCAGTCCAACCTCCTGCCAGACTTCCAACAGTTTCTCTGTCCAACACAAAATATTATTCAAAATTCAGACTCAAATCATTACCAGTTTAAAATGTAACCAGTTTCATTTTCTTAAATCTGGATACATCCCTATGACAATGGCAGATGTCCGAGTGTTGCAGAAAATGAAACTGCTGTTCTGTTTAGTGGCACTAGCGGTTCA